TTTGAACGTATCTTTACTCTTTACTCTCTTTTCATGGTTTGTGTGCTACATGAAGTGGAGTGTGGCAACTCGAAGTGGTGCACAGCTATGCAAAGTTCTACTTTGAAACTAGTCATTCATTCATTTCCACCCTTCCACACCTCTATTTTTCAATCGATAACTTCTTCAAGAGTTTCTAAAGTTATATACATCCATAATAGTTATGAATTTATTATTAAGACACATCCTTGGTACATTATAGGCTCCGAGGAGATGCGTGACACAAAGTCTCACATTTTTTGAGGGGGCTAGGATACTGCCCGGACGCCCAAACTGGAACAGGTGGTTGTTTTAATGGGACGGACACACCGCGAGTCGTTGACGTGACGTGTGATCCACAAGGTAGTGGCAGCAGTGTCAGGAGCTGCATTCCTATGGTTTCCGGTGACTAAAATAGGTTTATATACCATTCAACTTGTCCGGATTCTGGACCCCACATACACCATGGGTTCGGAATCAGGGTTTTCCAGCTCATCTGCTGGGTGGAATAACAAGCTGTAAGCGTCAGAGGTTCACATTCACCCTTTGACTTTGCGAGGAACACCACCGTCTGCGTGAAGGTAGTGAATGGAACTTGCTTGGCACAGACTAAGAAAGTGAGGGTAATCTTCGATTCTTTGGATAAAACGACTGCTTTTTGAAATTGTCAAACAGTAGCATCTTGAACATGCTCCATACAGCAACAAATCACTCAGGTAGCCAGGGTACACAACCATCTAACATCACTGTAGTAGGGTTAGACATTCTCGCAGAATCTCACCACTTATCTTTATCTTTGTCATTAATGCCATTCTGGAAACAGCCCTGAAGGATACAATTCGTGGTTGTGTAAATCTCCTGTCTAGAGAAAGACTTTTCCTCTTAGGCTAGCCAAAACGCGATTAGTTTGAGATATGTGTCTGCATGATGTAAACTTTGCTTCATCTAATTACAAAGAACTGTTGCAAGATTTGCAGGAGCCTTTACCTACACTCACTCTTGCAAACAAAGTAATCGACAAGTTCGTGCGTCTACGTAGTTGCATGAGTGCTAGCAGGTGAAGTTTCTTAGCACAGAGAGGAAGTTGGAGTAGCAAACGCCAACCTGCACCACCTTCGACGGAGCTGCAACACTAGTCTGACCATCATACATAGGTGGAAGCCAAGGAAATATCTTCAGGGGGACCAGTACCTTGTAGTATGTTGCATACGTTAAAACTTGTGAAGTTTCGTCTGGAAAAAACAACTTTACGAACTTCTGCAAACAGTCAGGTGTGCAATTTTACGTTGATGTCTTCTATCCTTTATTTCTGCAGTGCCTAAGAGAAACACCATGTTTCCACAAGCTGAACAACTTTATCCTTAGATGACTGCTGTAGTGTCAACTGCTTTAGGCCTTATCATTACTTACCTAATCTTTCTGGAACGGTAGAATCACTAGCCAATGTACTAAGTGGTATGGCTCATTGAGATATACAAATATATCCATCAAATAAAGATAGAAGCGCTATCCTTAAGAACAAATACCACCATCCAGTTCTAGAAACTGTGGTAACCACTTACACACTTGGTTATGTTTACTATCTCTTTCAAAATCTATTCATTCAGCTTAATAAACGAGCACTGACTCTACCTGACTGACGTAGAACTTTGCACCGATGTGCAGCAGTTCGAGTTGCCACACTTCACTTAAAGCAAACAAAGCAAGAGAAGAAAGTAAAAAGAGATTCAAAACGGAGATAATAAACAGAAATATGACGCAAAAAGAATAGTAATATCGAAGAACCATATAGTTGTGTTGGATATTATAAATCACAAAGAGTAAACGCATCTGCGCCAACCATCGAGAACGAGGATTTTGAGCCAGCAATATCACCAATTGTCTCCAGCTGTCATTGGTTTTTACCGTCCCGAGGAACCTAACCAGGAAGTCTACATCTCCCTACGTGGCTAGCTTAAACTAACTGTTGTGGATTCCATTGACCGATGAAGCCATGTTTTGTTTACACCACCACTAGTTAGCTCTTTTCTAACCTGATCTTCTGTCAGTCAGCTAACATTGCCCATTGTCGAGGAAGGCGATGTCTAGGGATGCATGCGTAACACATGTCCTAACCATCTCAGTCGATGCAACTTCACAGTCTCGTCTATTGATTTCCTCTCCTTACCTAGCACTCGACGCCTAAGCTCAATATTGCACACCCTATTATATCACTTCACATGGGAGATAGAACACAGGCACCTACGATCAAGACAGTTAGCCGACCTTTTCATGTTTTCCACTTTCAATGACCATGTCTCACAGTCAGCTATAAAGGAGGATGGAGGGAACTGCTGGGCAGTACACACGCCCTTTGGTCAACAACCAGTCGGATGTCACATCTACTGAGCCAGACAGCGTAAAATGGCATATGCGAAACTAGCCTTCTGTATTCATGCTGAGATTTCGTCACCGATCGACCCGTTGGGGCTGATGGAACTCCTCAATCAAGCGAAATGGTCAACACGCACCTCCAACCACTTTACTCCTTGCCTATCTTTAAGCTAGGAGTGAGTCGATGTAGTCCAGTCCTGTAGCACCGTCTTACATTTGACGGTCGGTTTTCGACATAGAACTTTGCACCAATGTGCGGCAGTCGCTACACTCCATGTACCACACAAAGGAGAAGAAAGTAGGAGAAATGCATAATATAGACAGAAAACAGAGGTGTGAGACAAAGGAATAGTAATAACGAAGAACAAAACAGTTTAATTGGGGTCACAAGGAGTGGATGCTTACATTTGACGGGAGCGAAACTGACTCTACCCGGTGTATGTTGGTGAGTTACAACTTGTCAATACACGTCAGGGAATGAATACGATATCAAAAGATTACAAATAAAAACAACTTGATTGTGACAGGGTTTCAACATAGAACTTTGCACAGAAGTGTAGCAGTTAAAGTTCCCGTGTAGCATATAAAGGCAGAGGTAAAGGGAGGTTCAAAAGAACCAAAATGAGCAGAAATGCAAGAAAGAATAGTAACATGAGGACTTAATATATGTAGAAGATAACGAAAAGTGAATGCATCTGAGTTATACTAGCAATAATCTCTCTGGTGGTCATTGGTTCTTAGCATATCACGGAATCCAACCAGGCAGTCTACATCTCCTTACGCAGCTGACTCAAACTAACTGTCAACAACTTCATGGAATGTTGACAGGTTTTTAGTTTGACCACTCTCCTACGTGACTTTCAGGCTAATCCTAAGTGAGCTAACATTTCCTCAGTGCAAAAGCCAATGGCTTGACATGCGCAGCACAACGCACAATGCACTTGTCATCGATTGACTTGCCCTCCTTACCTGACAGTACACCTGACCTCAATAGTACTCACCATATATTATATCACTTAACAGAAGGGAGTACAAAACGTAAACATCTGCGGTTAGAGGCAGCTAGCCTTTTTATATCTCCCATTTTCAATGATCATGTTTCACAGCCGTAAGAGACAATAATCAGCAATTAACCAACCTATTCTGTATGATTTCTGAAGTTTTTTCACTAAATGACGTACAATCGAGAATATATTTCGCTTTGATGTGACTTCATGCCTGAGTGCTAACCATGTGCGATTTAACTATTATCATCAGTGTATGGCAATCTTAACAACTAAATATAATTGGTAGTACACTGAAGGTAAAAGATGCACTATCAAGTCTATGAACCGGAAAAGTAACTTAATGATTTCATTAGCAGTGTTCAACAAGAAACGTGAAGTTGAGTAACTCTGCTTGGTTTCATTCATAGTTGGGAGAAACATTTATATTTTTATTTGATCCTTTCCCCGGGAGAACAATGATAGCAACAGATGGTTACAGTTTATCAAAAGTTTGGTCATGCCAAATTCACAGCATATGGATAGCGAAATACAAGGGGAAAATGGGTACATAAATACATCCTATTCCTTGGAAATGAGACGAAATCTCAGCACGGATAAAAAAGGCTCGTTTGGCATTCGCCTGCCAACTTACGCCATCTCTGGCGATTAAGTGATAGCCCGCTGTCAACCAAAGGACGTGTGTACTTCTCAGCAGTTCGCTCCATCCTCCGTAATAGGTAGCTGTGAGACATGGCCATTGAGAGTGGAAGATATGAAAAGGCCGGCTTTCTTTGAGCGTAGGTGCCTGCATTCTATCTACAGTGTTAGGTGACATAATAGGATGAGTAATAATGAAGTTAGACATCCATCAAGTGCTACGTAAGCAGGGAAAATCCATCGACGAGATTGTGAAGCAGCTACATCGATTGAGATGGTTAGGACATGTGTCACGCATGCCCAGCCTAGCCATTGCCTTCCTTGACAGGCAATGTTGGGTGACTGACATTAGATCAGGTTAAAAAAAGCTAGCTAGTGGTGGCTTCATGAGTCAATGAAATCCATAACAGTTATTTTAAGCCAACCACGTAGGAAGGTTATATTACCTGACTAGTTAGTGTCCTCAGGATGGCGAAAGCCAGTGACAGCTGGAGACAGTTGGTGATATAGCTCGAAATCGTTCTCGGTGGTTGGCGCAGATGCATTCACCTTTTCTGATTCGCCTGGCATATCCAGTAAGACTGCAGTGTTCCTCCATATTACTATTTTTTCCTTCACACTTTTGTTTATTGTCTTTCTCTCTTTCTTGAATCTCTGCTAACTCTCTTCTCTTGCTTTGTGTGCTACATGGAGTGGAGTGTGGCAACTGAACTGCTGCACTTCTTTGCAAATTCCTGTGTTGAAATCAGTCAGTTATTCAGTCAGCCGGTAGGGCATTAGGCCGCTAGTTTGAATCCTACCGCGACCGAGATCTTCATTCTAACCTAAATCACCACCCATTCCATTAATAATAATAGCATGCCAACCGAAGGCTATCTCAGGTAGTGTCACAATCAATATTAGTTCGCAAACAGACTTATGAATGATAAAAAAACAATAAACAACTCATAAACTTGCACAACTTACCGGGATTTTCTCTTCATCTAAATCCACAGGATGACCCATAAAACCTTCAACGACCCATGGATGACGTCGAAGGTCGTCCATTTTTATACGCTTTTTCGGGTCGACACATATCATTTGATTAAGGAGATGTCGACTAGTTTTGCTTAGACCATCAGGAACTGCAAATAAACCTTTCTATCTCCAAATGTTAGAGAGAAATTCTGTGTAACTTACACCAACTGTTTGTTGAAGTTCTTCGGGTTTGGTAGGGTCAAATGGTAGGCGACCACATAGCAGTGCATACAGAATTACACCCATTGACCAAATATCAGCCTGAGAATGTAAAAAAAATTCAAAATATCTATCTATTAACTTGAGTTAAAATAAATTAACACAAACAGACAATACAAATAGGTTACTTAGGAAAATGTGTTTAATTTCTGGTAGTAATATTCGCGTTCCTTTGATGAAAACCACTTCTTATGATTTTCTGGATCATGTTGCGAGTGAAATCGAAGGGGAATAATCATTTCTATGAAGAAGCAATTCAGCTCAATGAGCACTAAAGACACAATTCAGCTTACGAAAAGTAGGACGTGGCCATTGAGAAAGGAAGGTCAACCAATCAGGTTACGAAGTTACATCGATTGAAGTGGTTAAGACATGTGTTGCACATGGTAAGTCACCACCTTTCTGGACGAGCAATATTAGCTGATATAGCATTATGTTGGAAAAAAGTTCAACGCCACCAAACCAAAACACGCCGCCAATTCATGAAGCCTTTTCCTGTTGGTTTCAGTTATGTAGAAAAGTGAAGAATCCCTTGAAGAGTTAAGAATCAATGACTTAAGTCTTTTGCTGGTAAGGCCTTAAAGTGCCTCCAAAGCCTCAGGATGGTCTGGGGTGGGTGCCTTGCGCTGCGGGTTGGCCACCCCTCCGCACACCTCTTGAACACGGGGAGTTTTCACCAAAGTGAGAGGGTGAAAGCGGATGCCCGGCGCTCTTCACTGGGTTGACTGTCCATTGGATGACAGTCTAGGGGAGATGGCTAAACCCTGATTCCAAACCTCCAACGACTGGCGTATGAAGCTCACTGGAGCTCACCGGCAGACGTATGGACAAAGGGCTTGTTGGATGTCTGGCCCCATTCAAAAAGGCGTATGAACGGAACTCCGGTCACCGGCTGCCAATGGATAGTGGACTCCCTACTCCACTCCTACTGCCTTGTAGGTCACACTTGGTTGTGTAAAGGCTAGAGCTGCACTCTCAAACAAAAGGCCGAGCGATTCTGGGTTTACAAACGACTCTCACCATGCTACGGCGTTCCCGGTAAGCGACCGCCCTAACTATTATCGTTGATGTATAAGGAACAATGTCTCATTTGAACTTGTGCACTCGTTCATAGGTTGTTTTCACCACTGTTCTCAGTATATGTTCGTACTGATATGCATACATGAAAAACTTAGCTTATCAAAGGATTAACTTTGTTTAGGGCGGATCTCAATGAGTGCGTCTACCATTTAGATGCACCATCCACTAAAAGCGTCAATGAAATCCCAACAGAAATACACAAAATCACTTCAAAATTTGCCAACTTACACAGTCAACGGTATTGGGGTAATAAACAAACCATTTTGATAATAAACAAAAGTCTATATCTCAAGAATTCGTGTAATAAAATTATCAGGGTTTCATAATTCTAATCAATTCCTAGTGTAATACCATTCACGTTGGGTATTAGCCTTTACTGAGACATCGTTGAAGTTTCAAGTAGTAAGTTCTCACTAACTATAATCCAAACTAAACCAAAGGATATGACTCTTATGCACAGGATACATATACTGAAATCCACCCACACAATCGTAATCATTCAAAGCTATCCAGAATGTTAATGTGAATGAACTTGGGGTTATTATATGTTGGGTTAGGCGTTGAATTCCCAACCAGTGGGTCACTTTCGAACCATGTACCACAAGTAAGTGTTCGGCCAGGCATCCAATTAGCATCGTTAAACCCGCACACAAAATGTGGTTCATTGCCAAAAGAATGTAAACGCATATGGTTGTTAAGTAATCTCTAGCTGAAAACAGATATGCAAAATAAGGTATGTTATGAGCTCAGAAATCATACAATTCTGAACAATTGGAACTGTTCCCCACTAGTATTATTAGACTTTATTCAATCTAGAATACTGTTTTCATAGTAGTCAAACGAGATTGTACATACCGAAAGGTTCACTGTGATAAGTGATACCTAGCGTTGAGTGAAAAACGATAGTGAGAAGAAAGCTCTTTATGAAACTCGTAGATGTTCGGCTTTTTATAGTTGGTGTCCATATACCTCACAGGATAAACACATCAGACTAACCTGACAGAGAAACTACATGAAATTTTCGGAGTCAGTTCAAATACTCTTGGGTTATACTTTTGCATGAAGACCTGTTAGTTCATCGGTGATTCAATGGTAGAATTTTCGTCAACCACGGAAGTTCACGTTCGATTTCTGGCTGACACTCCTAAACCCTGCTTAGCCGATAGTACACCAGGTGAAGACGGAAGGTTGGGCGTACAACCAGCAACCTTACTCCATAAAAACAACACAACCACTATGGAAAACTAAAAACTCAAGCATGAAATCCTGTTCCACTAGAAATGCATGGGAATGAGAAAAAAAACGAAAGTCGATGAGCGAATTCAAGGTCTCGCGAAATTTTCTGCTTCGCTACACACTCCAGTGTATGGTCAAATGTTGTTATATACTATTAGGTTCCCTACAACTAGTTCATAATCAATATAGTAAAATGAAAACTCTAAAGTTAGAACCTGACCATAGACTACACTGACACATTGAAATAATGAGCTACCAGTGAACACCAACCCCCCGACGAAATCAGAAGTCCTGAAGGCAATCAAGATGCTAAAAGCTGGAAAAGCAGCAGGACCAGATGGAATCCCAGCAGAAGCATTGAAAACGGACCCAGAGACAACAGCGGACTTGATGACGCCACTACTGGAGAAGGTGTGGAAAGAAAGCAAAGTACCCGAGGATTGGAAGAAAGGATACTCATTCAAACTACCAAAGAAAGGAGACTTAAGTCAATGCAAGAACTGGCGTGGAATTATGCTCCTGTCCATCCCAAGCAAAATACTAAGCCGCATCATCCTGGAGAGAATCAAACACGCCACCCTGGATGAAAAACTTCGACCGGAACAGGCTGGATTCAGGAGAAACAAATCATGCATTAATCAGATCGCCACATTACGGATCATCATTGAACAAAGCTTGGAGTGGCAGTCACCTCTCTATCTCAACTTCATCGACTTTGAAAAGGCCTTCGACAGCGTTGATCGAGAGGTGATTTGGCAACTACTTCGCTACTATGGGGTGCCACCGACAATTATACATCTCATCCAACAGCTATACGACAATGCTGCATGCCAAGTAATCCACAATGGGAAACTTACGGAACCCTTTGAAGTTAGGACAGGAGTAAGACAAGGCTCCCTACTATCACCAATGATTTTCTTAATTGCAGTAGACTGGATAATGCGACAAACAGTGGGCAATGAGGAAACAGGCATAAAATGGACACACACAAATAACTTGGAGGATCTGGACTTCGCCGATGATATATGTCTGATTTCCCACAAACTGGAAGATATGCAAGCGAAAAGCAACAAGTTGGCAGAAGAAGCATCAAAGATAGGACTTCAGGTGAACATAGAGAAAACAGATGTGGTGATGAAGATTCCTGGGCAACACCACCAACAGCAACAACAACAATAGACAACAATCAGCATAAATGGGAGGAACCTGAAAGAAACAACCTCCTTCACCTACCCACCTGGGAAGCATCATTTCAACTACAGGCCGACGGAACTGACGAGGATATCAAAGGAAGAATCGGAAAAGCAAGACAAGCTTTCACTACTCTCAAGTCTGTGTGGAGGTCAACAACACTCAGCATCAAAAATAAGATCCGGATTTTCAACTCCAATGTGAAGTCAGTGCTACTATACGGATCAGAGACTTGGCGCGTCATAAAGAGCATTTCCAACAAACTACAAACCTTCATTAACAGTTGTCTTCGCTCAATACTCAAGATCAGATGGCCAGAAAAGATCAGCAACAGGGATGTTTGGGAACGAACCAACACAGCAGGAACCGATTGTGAAACAAATAGGCAGGAAGAAATGGAGATGGATGGGATGGCCATACTCTTAGGAAACCATCAAGTGACATCACTAGACAAGCCCTTGAGTGGAACCCGAAAGGGAAGTGGCGAGTTGGTCGTCCAAAGGTGACTTGGAGGAGGTCATGTGAAGAGGAGATGAAAACGTGTGGGCAGACTTGGAGCCAGGTGAAGACTCTAGCAGAGAATAGAACGCAATGGAGACGCGTTGCTGAAGCCCTATGTTCCTGTAGGAATTAAAGGATACTATAATATAATAATAATAATAATTCCTAACCAGTTGGTTAGAAGCACATACAAAGACAATATTACACTTACAGCACTCCCAGAATACTCCTTGTTCGCCAGCACCTCTGGTGCAACGTATGCGAAAGAGCCACAGAAAGTATTCAACATTGACAGATTATTACCCTGGAAATTGTTAAGATAATAGCTACTTACTTTAGCACAAAGACCGAAATCGATTATCCTTACATTCTGATCATTGTCTAGCAATATATTTTCCTAAAACATTTAGTAAATCAGATGAGATTTACCGGCTTCAGATCACGATGAGCGAAACCTTTAGTATGTATATATCCAATAGCTGAGACGATCTGTCGAAATATGACCCGAGCTTCGACCTCAGACAAATGTTCCTTCTGTAGGATGTAATCGAACAGCTCTCCACCTGGAAGATACTACCAAAAGTTTGATATTCAACTAGCTATACCTCCAGGACCAAGTAGAAGTGTGTTTGTGTCTCGACAACTTGATAGAGTTTATAAATATATTTGTGGTTCAATTGTTTAAGAGCTTCTATTTCACATCGTACACGATATGCATCGGGCTACAATAACAATTAGTTTTTTATCAATACGAATACCCCAAGCTTTCTTTTGTCTAGTATTTTAATCGCGACTTTCTGACGTGTTACTGCATGTATTGCTATGTAAAGAACGCCAAACGACCCTTCAGCAAGAGGTTCACAGAAAAGATACAATCCTTGAAGTGCTTTCGGAGCTACGAGTGCCATCTTAGGGGAAAGTTGCTGCGCGGTAACGACAACGTGCGGACAGTCGAAAATTAAGAAACCCGCCTCACCAACAACGTCCTAGACTCGATGCTAACTAACGAAGTAAATATCCAGAATTCTCAGTCTCACTGCACCAAATATTTCCGTAGATTAGGTTTGTCGGAGTGTAAAAATTGGCAAGGTCGTCTGTAGTTGTTGTCTATTCTTTACTGTTGCCGAAAATTCTCATATTGTTTTTCTAAGACGACCCACTCTGTAGAGAGTACTCAGTTTAATGTTTATCAAGTAAGTTTAACACTTAAAGATACTTTCATTTTTTCCTGTTGGTATTGATGACCTTGTTCAGCCCAACTTGGATAGTATCTCTGGCTCCTTTTACTACTCATGTGTACAAAATATTATGGTGGCTGGCAGTCCTCTGTCAGATATGAATGTGCAGAAATATTTGTTCAGGTAATTTTCAAACGCTTCATGTTATGATACAGATTTATTTATACTCTCATATGTGTGCTTGAGAAGTAGTCTTGTATTGGCATTCTTGATTTTATGTAATGATTTGGTTATTAATTTATCACACATGTTTCCCCCCCCCCCCCCCACATGTTAGTATATCACTTTGAATTTCTAAAACCCGGTCGAAAAGTCTTCGTATGAAAGTTCCTGTTTCCATCGAAATGCAAAGCACTAGAATTTTTCACTGTTTTAAATTGTATCAGCACCTCGATTTGATTCATTCAGAGCATGGCTGAGCATCCACTTTGCGACAAATTATGAGGAATAATATAAGTCAAAGGTTTCTTATCCGTAATAACCCTCAAAAAATTCAGGTAGATCTCCAAAGACTGTAGAAGGACTGTTCACGCACATTTCAAAACTACATTAAACTGTGGGAAACAGCCGCTCCTATCGCTGAATTTTGAAAGTGTTCATCAACATTTGCTTCTATTTAGTGTTACTGATAAAACGAACAGTTTTGCTGTTTACACAATTCCGATTTCCAATGTCTAATATATTCATGAAGAGCCTAAATAAAACTTTTGATTTAGATATGATGGACAAGACTTGTACCTTAGAGAACACGAAACATTTGATTTCTTGGCCCATGGTCTTACGTGTCCTAGATGGATTCTAGGTTTTGGTGGATTCCTTGCCAACTACTGCTGCTCCACAGAAAGCTATAGGTGGAGGAGGTTTAATTTATTTTGAAGAAAATATGTGGTTTACATAGTGATAGCGCAAACGTTGGGAGTTTCGAATATCTTATCCTCATTTCTATGGGTCGGAAATACTCTAGAAAACACTGCACTAGAACAGAGAGGAGAAAAAGGGTGAATAGAGACCTCAGAGGCAGGCAAGTTTAGGAACAACTTATGAAATAGAATGCTGTATCCGTAGCATGCTCATCAATTTATTCTAGATGTCAGTAGATCAGTAGTACAGGAATGATCACTTTCGAACCCTTGTTGGGCCATTTTTTAGTGTGTGCTATGGACAAGATTTATAAGTTCCAGGAAGCTGCCAAAATTGAACTCACTACTTCAGGTTATAATAATAATAGTTTATATTTCGTATAAACGGGTAAGTTTACAAGAAATACATGCCATTTTTACAGCCACTATCTGTAATCGTTAATCGCTGCAGAGGTAGAAGTGTTTGTTCCTCAAATCTAGATCTAGTTTGCACTGCAGAAACGAAACAATGGCATCGGGCAACTTTTCGTCTCATGGTTTAAACTCCCCACCCACCCAAACCAGTCTACTGCCCCCTGACCTAGCCAAAATTTAATGTAGTTGAAAACGTATAAATACGATTTGTTTTTCCTAATAAAATCTTCAACTTCCGAATCTCCTATCTTCTGCTGTTACAATGCAATGGGTGCTACATTCCTTCATACCGCCCCTAAAGCTATCATCCAGCAGGCTATCGGTCAGACTATTTTGATTTTGGAGTCATATGGATGTAGCATTTAAGACTCAATCGATTCCCTCCTCCGAGTTTTTTTAAAATCTAAGATTCGTGAGAGCTCTTTCACTTCGTTGGTGGCTGTTGCCTGTTTCACAAATAATGAAACTACCAACTGGGTGTAATGCATGGGGCTTCAATGCAATATCTGAGAAGTAATGATCTGACTTCGTCAAACGTTAGAGATACTGTTGGATAAAGCTTTGCTCTTCTCATGGAAACCATGTTGGGATCTATTTGCATATGTGTTCACGTGTACTGAAACTTGCCTTTTGCTCATCCTTCCCACCTTAATTTGTACAATGTCATCCAGTTTTAGCTGATTTCGTTGTTTTTGACATTGGATGATAACCATTTTTAAAGAGAATGATGGCTGTAAACACAAATTGAGAGCCAGTGGACCTGATTTCCGTTGTTTTTTCCCTGGACCTCTGATGGCACTCTAGGAAACCGACTAGTTAGGCTGCCTACACATATTTGGGATCACTTCCAGTTGGCCTCAACTAGAAATAACGCTCATGACCGCTGTGTGGCTATCAATCCCGGTAGATATTAGCTCTGGCCACACTACTTGCTGACCTGCCTACCTAATCTGGTGTCGAGGCTGACTTACCTGTCTCCGCCCTTAGCGAACTGACAGTATCCAGGACGCGTTTAAATCTGCATTGATGAACGAATCGTTCTTTGATGGTGCAACGGTTGAGGTTCAGTTAAGTTGACCAATTCCCTTGATCACCTACAGCACTGAGTTGTCTCAGGCAACGATATCATGTTTATTATGAACGTTATATCTAGAGGTAATCCAACAAGTACTAAAATTATACATTACATGCTATTTTCTGGAGCAGTTTGGTCTTTTGACTTGTTTTTTTCTTTCAAGTGACAAGCTCGTGTCTTCCTTGTAAGTAATCCGTACAGTGGCTTTAGCGAAAGAAGGGAAATTTACAGGTAGATAGTTCCCACTGAAGCTGGCTTTGGTGTAAAGTGATGCCATTTCATTCGCTCGAATTGGTGATACCTTTGTTGCTGCAGCCAGTATATTTCGTGGAGCTTGCTGGACACTTACACCGAGTCCCCGTACAGGCTTAGGATGAGTGACTTTATCCCATGTGGAGTGCGTCCACTCTCTATGAATGGTGCACATGAAAGCTGTCCGTTTTGAAGACCGCTAATTTGTCTACACGCTGCTTTTCCTTCTTCTCTTAATTCACTTACTTTCCACACTCACTTCAGCCTGACGCTACCAATGAATCATTACATTTGCTTCCAAGTGGATTACAGAATCGTTGAATACTTTCTAAGACACCTGCCGCAGCAGTTTTGTGACTCGTCATAAATCAAAGTGAGCGCAAAATTATCGACCTGTTTGGCGCAAAGTGACAGAAGATATCAGTCGGTTTTGGACGTACCGATGGTGGGCAAGTGAGGCGGGAGAAACCTACTCAAACACATAGAAGAGCATTCACCATTCAATACAGAAGAAGGACTTTACAAATCGTAAAAATATATACTTCGTTCTTGTTTGCTTGTCTCGTCCTTATGTCTTCTTTAATCATCGGCCGCCTTTGAATGATATTAGTGTTGTATATGCCCTACAGCAGTCCATGTAGTAAGAACGGTGGGATGGGGTTCTGGGATGAATACTATATGGAGTGCTGTAGTGCGCTACCCATTTGGAGTCTCTGAATAATCTTTACTAAAGCTATGTGCAACTGCCCCATTGGCCACTAAGATGTTGAGACTAGGTATTTTCATACAGACACACTCGATATTTATTTTCAGTGTTCATCTCAGCATACAAATGGTTAGAAAAAGAGAAGGACAAATTAACAGCAGTGATGTCGTAGAACTCTCATATAAAGTTTTCAGGTTGCCGGTGCTGTATTGTAATCACAGTCTCATAAATCTTTTTGTATGTTAATTTCATATAAGTGGTGCCTCATATGCAGCAACAGGGATTTTGTTAAATCGATAAATATGAGAGGCATTTTGCAAATAAATGAAAGGTGGCGGCGAATGTCAGCGTTCAAAAGCCAATGTTTCAACCTCTCTGTGTGGTGGTCCGGTTGGCATGTATTTAGTTGCTACTAATAATTTTCGTTTCTTGAAAAGAAACAAGTAGTTTTTACAGGCTCAAAAATGTGTGAATTACCAATAATCGACAGGAATAACGGTATAAATTTATTATACTAAATTAGAATCAACACTGGTTTAAACAATGAAAATACTGATAAAAGAAAGCATAATAATAGCTTTATTTTGTACAGCGTTTATGTATTGTGCATGAATTTTCAGCGTAGTTTATTGCATGATATTATCTATCTATCCAAGATCTCCAAATAAAATGTCACGTGACGGTGGACCATGTGAAACGCTTCTTCCTGACGGGAAGCGCAAACGAAGAAACTATGATACCTCTCCTCTATCTTCTTGGATAAATGCATGTAATTTGGTTGAATGCATTTATAAAAGCTTCAGAAATACATTCTCTGAACCTAGGACACAACGCAAGAGCAGCTGTCTATTGCACTGTAACACCCCCCAACCCACGAATGTTTTTTCTCACAATAATCAGGAACTTGCAAATCAGAGAAAATCTGGAGAAAATATCCGTGAAATGTTGATGGAATTTTCCAGTAGCCTAAATTTAAGCAGGCCACCAATATAAATAAATAAATAAATTTATTCTCATAGTACAGTACATGAGGGACGCCAGTTTACAGGCATCATCAAATTGTTACAGGAATAGAACCATATAGTTCAATCACTATTTACAGGCAGTAGCAAGATATGCTTTACATGTTCACTGGAGATTATACATACACTTGATAAATGTTAATCCCAGTAGTATAAAACAGCCTTTTCACTTATATACAATCATTTCTGTGCACAGTTGGAAAAATCTGCTAGATTGTCAGTGAGTGCAACACAACAGGAAATACAGGAGTATTGTCTTCGCATTAACAAAAAACCAGGTCTTTGGTGGATGGATTATAAGTGCCTGGGAAAAAAATAAAGCTTGAAGTCAATTTTCATAC